GTGCTAATAAGTACATTTTAGGTGCTAATATGAACATTTTAGGTGTTAATATGTACATTTTAGGTGCTAATATGTATATTTTAGGTGCTAATATGTATATTTTTAAATGTTAATATGTACATTTCAGGAGCTAATATGTCCATTTTACTGTAGGTCCTAATACGTACATTTTAGGTGCTAATATGTACCACTAAGGTAAGTGGCCAGTGACAACTTTTGTACCTTTTATTTCTGAGAGTGCAGTATCTCACATGTGTCAGAACAGATCGTAATGTCTCAAACTGTGCTCAGATTGGCCAAGAGCCTGACAGAAGACAGAGATCTTAATACAAACTCAATACTTTCAACACCACATTTATATTTTATATAGTTCTATATCCGGCCTCCTGGCCAAGACAAAGTTGTTGCCTCCCGAGATTTAAAAGACCAAAAGCATTTTACTCTCAAACAAGGAATAAAAGGTACTTACTCGGAAACACAAGTAAAGAAGTAAAGCGCACCATCAACACACTCACCATCAGAGCGAACGCACAGCCAAGACACGAGAATCAGACCCTGGTCACATGTGCATCAGTTTGTGTGTGTGTATGTGTGTGTGTCAGACCAGTTTAGACTACATGCAGATTCAGGTTTCTTCTGCAAGATCACAAGAAGTGCAAGAAAGAAGAGAGACAGGAAGAATCTGGTGGTTGGACAGGCGACACCCTCTTCACATAAACACATCATGAGTGGAAGGAAAAGAGAGAGAGAGAGAGAGAGAGAGTGTCTTTCACAAACACACCATTAACCGCAGATCGCTCACCCTTGCCTCACTCAAGACATCATGCCACTTGGCTGGACTTCTATGTCCGACTGAACACACACTCATTAACGTCCACCACACACACAGTAGCCCTATCTGCTCTGTTTGCGCTGCTCAAAATGGCCTGAAAAGCAGAAACTTAGGAATGGTAAACAAGCACAAAGTAGTTGAAATGCTCCTAAAAAATAAAGCAAAGTAAAGCATGCAAATCTATAAATCCTCTCTTAAAAACAAAAAAAATTATATACACTGTGATCATAAGAAAAGGTGTCACATATATTATAGACGGGATGTTTTTGACTCCTCTGTTCTAGTGGACTTATTATGATTTTAAGCGAATAAATTGGAATTTGAATAGAATTGGCCACCACAGCCTGCAGTTCGTATTGAGAGTTCGAAACAGATTAACAATACAAACTTTCAAGGAAATTAAGCTTCAACTGGTGTCCCTTTAAACTACCATAATCAGTGGTGATGATGTAATAGGTGGGCGTGGCTCTGAGGCTCCGCCTTCTTTGACGTGAAAATCTCCGGTTAAAGGGTAATCAGAGCCTGACTCCACCCACTGGCAATATTTGAAAATGCTGAAAAAGTGGGCGGGGCCCAGCGGAGATAGAGGGGACGAAATAGATGCTAAAACACTCGTTTTCAATACTCACAATTCAAATTCCTGACTCCCTACAGTGGTTTTGACGACACAGGATGGTTTTTATACTGCCAAGGGCGTAGCTCGCGTGGTGAGCTGAAAGTGTGGAACATCCAATAGGAAAATTCAACTGCAGTAGCCACCGTTCAACCTGAAGAGGGCAGCACTGAGACGTTTTTACACCATATATTGTAGAAATAGAACACTTTATAAACAAATTGTCAAAAAAAGTTACTCGAATCAATGACTGGTATTAATAAAGATCCATTCTTACAGATCGTTAACAAAAAAAAAGTTGGTTTAGTGTTTAGTTACTCTTTAATGTCTTCTGTTCAAATCCACCATATTGTTTTGAAGTAATTTTTAAAAAAATATATATTCGCATAAAAATGTGGCCTACTGAATATACAATATTTTGAGTAAATTAGAGCATACTTTGAAATGAAATAAATAAATAAAGGTCATTAAAAATAAATGTATTGTCCCCGTGTGGTGAAAATCCAGCTTTAATGTTGTTTACGTCTGTGTGGTGTTTTTAATACGCTTTAAGACAAACTGTGTAAATTCATAAGTCGACAGCAAAAGACAAAAACACGGTTTGAAATCGCTGGTGTTTCTGACGTCACAAACGACCTTGTAACCAATCAGATCAACGTGTGATTGTCAACCAGTGGAGTGAGTGAGTGGAGGCTGGGCTCATTTGCATATTCATAGAACCGCGCATACTAAATGAGGCAAGGGTGTCGAGTTACATTCAAGATATTTTAAGACATTTTTTCAAGGAAAAAACTTAAATATGCAATTTTGGTAAAACAATGGCATTTAAAACACTGATTATCATCCACTGTTAGAAATAACCCATGTGAAAATGAAAATATATATTTATTTGTTTGTTTATTTATTTGCTTACTTAAACTCAAATGGTTTGGTTCAAATTAGGGACAGAACTGGAATTGAAGTTTCTTTAACACTTTATATTAGTTTAGGGTCAAATTCTCACACTAGTTGCTTATTACCTTGCATATTACCACGATATTGGCTGTTTATTACACTAGTACCCACATATTAATGCTTTACTTTGCATGACCACATCCACATTCAACATCTCTTAATCCTGTCAAGTATATAAACTTAACAACTACATAATAAACAGTAATAGGGTTTTTTTTAGACAAAATTAAAGTGTGACAGTATTTTCTGTATTATGAATGGTGCACAACTGTGTCTTAGCTGTTGGTACGTGAGTGTTTTATTTTTACTTTAATAATTTTAGCATTTCCCCTCATATCTCTGTTACTTTGCACCTTTATGGTTCCTCCTTGTGTGAAATAAGAAACTGATCATGTGAAATAAATATGTGCTGGTATCTCCTTCTTTAGGTTTCGTAGGCCTACACAAAAGTAAAAATTCTACGTGCAACAACTGAAATGACAAAAAAGCAACACAAGCTGCTCTTAAATGTAATGTGTCATTGTGTGCATTGCAATAGGACATGTCACGCCATATTAGACATCACTGCCATGACTGTCTTATCACTGGCATGAAACCTTGCATGACACATCTTGACACACGGCATCTTGTGTGCAAGCAATGAAAGGGAAGATTTTTAATCAGTAGGGACTTAATTATCACTGTAAAAAAAAATAATCCTGTAAAAAAAACGGTAAAATACTGGCAGCTTTGGTTGCCAGCATTATACTGTAAAAATACAGTGTCTTGCCGTTTTTGAAATTAACAGCTAAATACTGTACACTGAAAAAAAATAATATGCTTTATCTAATCAATAAAATTGTGGCAACATATTACAAGCAATATTATTAATTAAATTGTACAAATTAGAATTAATTAGAATATTAATTTGATTAACTATTACTCAATAACTAATTTGTTCAACTTAATAAATAATATTGCTTGTAATCTGTTGCCACAATTTTATTGATTAGATAAAGCATATTCATTTTTACAGTGTATTGTCAGCTATAAAACTTTAATTTAACAGCTACACAAAAACAGTAACGCACCGTATAATTACGGCATGATGCTGGCAACCTGTAGTTTACAGGATTATTTTGTGGGTTTGTTGCTCACACACTGTAAAAATGAATATGCTTTATCTAATCAATAGAACTGTGGCAGCAGATTATTATTAATTAAATTAAAAAAAATTAGAATTGAGTAATAATTAATCAAATTATTCCTTAAAAGTTAACAATTTAAAATGAGTAAAGTTTAAAAATTTTAACAAAAATTAATTAAGAACTCTTTATTTTATATTGCCAACATTGAAGACACCTTTAAAAACAACACATTTTAAAACAAACACTGATCACCATAATGGTGACTTCAATTTATGTTTTTTTTTTGGTTGCTGTTGTAAGTTTTACTCATTTTAATTGGTTAATTTTTAAGGAATTAATTTGATTAATTATTACTCAATTCTAATTTGTTCAATTTACTTAATAATATTGCGTGTAATCTGTTGCCCCAATTTTTTTTGATTAGATAAAGCATATTCAATTTTTCAGTGCACAACAACTACTGAACGGCTTCAAATATATAACACCAGTCATAGAGTACTTTTATAGCACTTTCTTTGTATGGAAAAGAGCAGTGTTTCACAGAATATAGTTTGAAAGGCCTACAAGATGAATGATGAAACTAGCATTGGTCTCAAACACCACAATAGCAGGAAGTGTTTAAGACCAATGAGTTGAGAAATGTCCTCGCGCTTTCTTAGTTTCCTGCACATTTACATTCACGTCTGTCTCGTACAGTTACAGTTCACCTCGCCTCCATGAGCATTGTGGGAAATGTGCAAGTCAGCGACTGCCCGGTCATATAAAGCTCATAAAGCAATCTATCATCACATAAGTCACCTTTCTCAGCGTATGATCTGCTGTCTGTGAAAACTAGAGCAAGAAACTTTATTTAACAATTTTTCACGTGCTTATCTCAGCAAACGCCATTCATAACCAATAAAACACACACACACACGACACGGACATAAAATATGAGCATGTTAAACATTTCATACATGGTGATCATCACTCATCATAAAAATATGGCCTCCTACACTCTAAACAATGCTAGGTTGTTTGAACCCAAAGTTGGGTAAAATATGGACAAACCCAAATGTTGGGTTAAAAATGCAATTAGTTGAAAATTAAAGTTGGGTTACATTGGGTTTATCCAACCAAGCATCGTTTAGAGTGTAAAAAGGAAATAAATCCAAAATAATATACACAAAATATACGTAGGCTGTACTGTCATGAAGCATAAAACAAAATATGCATCAGAAAACCATCAAAAGAAACTAGCTTAACCATATTAAATTGAACTAAACATCTAAAATAATTACTGAAACTTGCATTAAATGTCAAGCGACCACATATTTTAATGTAAACTCATTGTGATATTCAGTGAAACTGCACATAAATGTCAATGCCAGCTACACATTTCATAAAACAAAACTGATAAAATAACATGGTAAGGTATTCCCGTCTTCCCGGTCACACACACACACACACACACACACAGTTAGGTGTAGTGTACCTTGAATACAGGCATCTGTCCGCTCTCTCACATGTGCTGATCCTCAGTCCCGTCCTGCAAACGCCTCCTTCCGTACTTCTGTCTACAAACGCAAGTTCCCCTTTTTGTGTCTGGTTTGTTCTACCTGTTTCTCTCTCTCTCTCCACGGTTTATTACATTTGCTGTGTGTGTTGTGTGTGTGTATGTGTGTGTGTGTCAACGGCTGCTCTGAGGCGCGACTGTGCTGCTGAACAAAATGACTAGAGAGAGAGAGAGAGAGAGAGAGAGAGAAAGAGAGAGCGAAAGAGAGAGAGGATGTGTGCAGTCCTCCTTTCTCTCTCTCTCTCTCTCTCTCTCTCTCTCTCTCTCTCTCTCTCTCCCTCTCTCGAGACAGGCCACTGTCCCGCACTGCTTGCTGTTATTTTTAGAAGCGGCCGAGTCGTGAATCAAAACCTCGCAAAAGAAACAGGCACATGTCATACGCCAGCAGATCTGTCTCACACACACACACACACACACACACACACAGGTATTCATCCACATTTCATCAGCCCTGGTGCATAAAAACAGCAAGTTGTTTTATTTTTGAGAGGTCATTACTGAGGCAAGCCATACGTTGTGTTGACGTAAGGTTTTATGCTACACATTATTCTCCGGACAGACTATTCGGCAATAATGACCAATGCAACGTCGTGCGAAACCTTCAGTCCTCCAACAATCGGTTAAATCCGAGACGTCACATTCATCACAGAGTTAAACCCATTCGCAATTTGGGGAGACTTGACCGAGTTACAAACTTGTCGGTTCTAATGGCTGCACATCGGTCTCATTATCAAACCCGCGGCTGAAATAAATGCATTCGTCAGAAAGCAATAAATGGGACTGTCAGCAGATCCATTAGCATAAAACATATCTGTCGTGCAGGAGTGACGTAACATTTAAGTTATAAATCGTTATTCTCCTCTCTTTAAAGACAACAAAACAAGATCCAGGCTGAGTATCCTGTTTAAATCTTGTACGTTTTTTTTATTTATTTTATTTTTTATTATTATTTTTATTTTTATATATATATATCAATCATCAGAGCAGAAGATATTTTGGTAAAAATGAGCTTGGTCCATAATTCATGAAGGTCCGGACTTTAAGGCCACGTTTACACAAAGCCGGGTATTTAGCAAAACGAATATATTCCCCCTCTCCGTTTTCAAAAATAACATCGTTTAACTTTACACATCCGCATAAATACGCCGTCATAACTACGCCAAACCTATTGGCGGCAGTGTAGGGGTTAAGGATAAAGCCATTTAAGCGAGCGAGCATTTACACGAGAGAACCTAAAACGCCGTTTCTCCCAGTTCACACGACAACAAATAAAATAAAATAAAATGTCCACTTTGGCCGGAGTTTTTAGAAATAATCGTTTTCAGTGATAAAAACGGCGTTTTCGTGTAAATGAGAGAGAAATATCTGCGTTTTCCCATCGTGTAAACGGGGCCTAAAGCTGAACCCAAAAATGAAAATGATGTCATTAATTATTCACCCTCATATTATGCCTAACCTGTACGAGTTTCCGTCTTCTGTCGTACACAAAAGAAGATATTTTGAAGAATGTCAATAACCAATCTGGGGTGCGTTTCCCGAAAGCATCGTTAGCCAACTATGGTCGCAAGTTTCGTCGTTCGCATAGTTCAACGAGTCGGTGTTTCCCGAAACCATCGTTCCAACGAACATTCGCAAACAGCATCGCAAAGTTGTGTGGTTTGAACGATACTCTCGACCTGTGGTCAGAGGCATCGTTTCTATATTACATCACATTTGGACGTTTATAAATCCTAATCGTGAGCAAAATAAGCAAGATAACATTCAGTACAACCGGTGCCTTTTATTTAGAATACATACAAATGGAATTTACGTCTTTTAGTTTTTCAAAAGATTTTGAAGAGTGCGCATGTGTGAACGTGCTCTAGCTACTAGTAAGAACGAGCCAAATATTGAGTCTGGTAATAAAGCAAAATAACAATTAGAAATAGTCCTCAGATGACATGTCTGTAATATATATGAAAAAAATCTAGCGTTAATTGGATATCAAACCGTTTCATTAAAAGTAGTCATTAATCCACTACGTGCGAAACCAACGTGGTTTGAACGATACTTTGCGACTGGGTTTCGGGAAACAGTCGTGACTAGCTAGTTGATTTCTCCAACGATGCATCGTACTACAATCAAGAAAAGGTTCTATATAGAACCTTAAAAGGTTCTATCGGCGCTACGTATTTGGAACCCCTAAAAGGTTCTATACACTCTTAAAAAAAGGGTTCCTCTGGGTTCTATATAGAACCCTAGGGTTCCGTACTTGGCCAATAGAACCTTTTACCAAAAAAATGGTTCTATATAGAACCATTTTGGAGTTCCATATATGAAGCGGGGGATGGAACCATTTCTGGTTCTAAATAGAACCGTGTTTGATAGTGAAGCAGCGAACTACATAGTTGTATGGGAAACACACCCCTGACTTCTATAGTTCCAAAGTATTATGGTCCATAATTTATGGAAGTCAATGGGTTGGTTGACTATTTGGTTACTAGCATTCTTCAAAATATCTGCTTTTGTGTACGACACAAGAAAGAAACTCTCAGGGGTGTGTGTTTCAGTACAACGCTGTAATTTTAACTACTATAGTAGATGCATCGTTCAAGAAATCATCTAGCCATCACGACTGTTTCCCCAAACCATATTGACGTAAAGTGGTCGTTCAACCACGCTGTTTGAGATCGAATGAATGCTAGATGTTTTGATATAACTGACAGACATGCATCTGAGGAATATTTCTCATTTTTTTCAGTTATTTCACTTTATTTCCAGATTCAATAACTCTCGTTCTAACCATAGACTGTAAAAAATATGGACAAAGCGTCTGTGACATCACCTATAGACTTTCTGAAGAACGGGTTTGATGTTTATGGGGGGTATGGGCGACGCCATCTTGGAAAATCTTGGGAAATACAAAATACAAAAGTTCAGAAAGGATACAGAGGTGGTATGATGTGTTGTGTCAGATCATGGCCGAGACGTCAAATTCCACTCGGCGCAGCCCGTCATCAGCTGTCAATCAAAGTTAACCGCCCTTATCTGTCATACATTTTATAACTCAATACGATCTAAACTAACGAGTTAGAAAAAAATTCACCCCCTTCACAGTTGTCAGGCACTCGGAACCTGTAAACATGAATTTATTCTGTGAAAACGGACATTTTAACATGAAGTCTATTGACATTTGTTCCCTTTTGGGACCGGCCTCTAGTGGATTTTTGATGTATTGCAGTTTTTCGCACTTCCGGATAGGCTTCATCTTTCAGATTAGAATGTTGCCGCTTGGTTCTTACGCACTAGAGCTCGTTCACACATGTGCACGACGCTTTAAATCTAACAAACTAAAAGACATTTGTATGTATTTAAAAAAATATATATATAGATTTTACTGAATGCCAGATTGCTGATTGAGTCCACATGTCATGAAAACTAGAAACTCTTCTTCTAATTGCAGATCGACATCTGTTGCTCACACACACAACTCTACGATGTTGTTTGTGAATGTTCGTTGGAAGGATGGTTTTGGGAAACGCTGACTCGTTGAACTGATGATAACGACGGAGCTTGCGAACGATGCTTTCGGGACACACACCCCTGGTTTGGAACAAGATGAGTGTGATTACTAACCCTTTAATATGTGAACTATCCCTTTAATATTTTGTACTTCCCCTTGTAAAAAAGTGCCATATAGTCTTAATTGTGGCATTTGTTAAAACTATAAGAAGAGCATTGATGGCTCTTCATCACCATACACCAAGCTCAGGGTAAATTTGACTTTTTTTGGTCTTCTAAGAGCGAAAAAAATGTTTTTTTAAACATTCAAGCATGAAATGAATGCATTGTGTTTCTTTCTTGGGCATCAGTGAATCAGTTTGCAGCTTTTTTGATAGTTTTGTTTGAGTCCCTCGAGTGTCCTCAGCGTGAAAAGATGGATCTGTCACTGCTGGAAAGGGTTCAAATATGCAGAAGATGTGGAGGATTAGTCTGAAGAACATCAGGGCAAATGTGGGACAGAGACACACATCCAAGGGTCATCCAAGACACACAGTTTTATAATTCTAGGGTATGTCAACTAACTGTATGAACAGGGCTATTTTTATAAATTCTGCTATTATTTTCAACTATATGTCGACATCTGTTATGTGAAACAGCTTTTTCAGGAGAGCAGTACTAAATAAAAAATAACATGCCATTTTATGATACCTCTTATTTTATAAAGAAAAAAATACATTTTGCTTTAGATTCTGCAAGGGATATGTAAACTTCTGAAACTGTATAAAACTGTGATATTGCACATAAAACCGACAATAGAGCGGCGAATCAATTAAAAATAATTAATTGCAAAGGTTTCTGTGGTTAATCACATCTTTAAAATGTGTATAAATATTTACATAGAAAATCCACAAAATAATGTTGAAGAATTATTTTAAATAATATTTGGGTAACACTTTATAAAAAAAAAAAAGTATACACTCTAAAAATGCTAGGTTGTTTTAACCCAACTTTGGGTCAAATATGGACAAATCCAGATGTTGGGTTAAAAAATGTCATTTAAAATTTTAACCCAACTTCAACTTTCACTTTTCACAATTTTTTAACCCAATATTTGGGTTTGTCCATATTTGACCCAAATTTGGGTTGAAACAACCCAGCATTTTTTAGAGTGCACTGTTAAATTATTAATAGGCTATATTCAAAGAGCATGTTTTTTATGCATCGTCACAGTACAGTAGTTAAAATAATTATTATTTGATTAGCTCATAAAAATAGTTTGCTTATATGCTTTGTAGACAACTTATTAACCATAAAAATGGTAAACAGTATTAAAACAGTAGTAAAATAGTAGTTGATTGTTATTAGTAAATAATAAGTAAATAGTCTTCACTTTAAATTAGGTCATGGGAAATAAAATAAAAAATGTGTTAATTAAGTGCTTTAAAACCAACCTTTATTGGACATTAATTGCATTTAAATTCAGTGTTATTTATGTTTACAAACACAAAACTTTATGAGGACTTTCCAAAGAAATAATGATTGTATGTGAGAATGTGAGAACTATCTAGGTTAATAAGTTAGTACACTATCTAACT